TGGTGTGTTGTATGATTGAAATTAAGGACAAGTCACATCAATTTTTTAGCATTAATCTCACCCTACAACACAATCACTTTAGAAAACTTTAAGAAAAAAAAACTCTAGAGATCCTTGGCGCATGTTTTAGAGTAAGTGATGAAGATCATGAAAGAAAAAAAAGAGTAAATTTGGAATTTCACATGAAGCACATTTAAGGTATCAAGAATTAAAGATTTGGAATAATTTTGAGTCTTCATGTCATTATAGTAAGTTTTAGTAATTAAGGGTATAATGGTAATTCCAATGATTGTTGAACATGGGTTGTAAGGGTCACCATGTGTTTATTTTGGGTCAAGTTATTATGACTAAAATAATTTTTAGTGGTCAAAAGTCCAGCTCTAGTTTGATATGAAGTAAAATAGAAGTCATGCAAAGTTTCCGCATTATGAATAAAGTAGAATTGGAAGCAGAGTTGATCTAGAATACTATTAATTGCTAATATTTTTAGTTTCTAAATTTGAGTTTAGTCCGGTAGAATTACGAGAGTCATTAGCCTATAAATATATGTGCAATCTTAATGATTCAAGAGAAGAGTTAATATTATGAAAATTTGAGATTGTGTTTGTGTGCAGCCTATCCCTTGTGAGGGTGACACACCTCTTTTTCTTCTTGTTCTTGTTCTTGTTCTTGTTCTTCTTCTTCTATTCAGAAAGGTTACTGTTCATGTCACAATGTTCACAGTGTTTAGAACAGACACCCAATAGTCCCTAGACACTTGTGTTTTCATTCCCAAAACACTATCCTTTTATAAACCCTTAAAACTCCTATTTTTTAAATACTTTTGCAGCCACAAACTCCCTCCAAATCCAGCCCTATAAGTCTATTGTTGCTGCTGCTAGTATATTTAACTGGGCTCACTACTTGTAGAAAAGTAATCCTTACTCGTCCTACATCAACAAGTGTTATGTCAAATTATGTCTCCATGTGTGCCTGCATTTTTTTTTAATTAAAATAATAAAAATAAAATTGTTTGCTTTAGCATCTTGGTGGACCTTCTTTTTATTATGTTGTTTTTTTTGTTTGTTTTGTTTGTTTTGTTTTTTTAATTTATAAAACAAGTATGACTAATATGATTCATGGGAGGTTCATTATCTTGTAAAACTTATCGATTTTACCATATTTTTGTTTGCATGATATACATGTGCTAGTCTAGGAAATGTAGCAAACATTTCTTATCATAAACGTTTTGCATTTTTTTAGCATCTGATTGCATCTCTTTCTTGATCTCATTTTTGGAGTCACTGATGACATTCTTTATTGGATGCTTGATTGCAGGAGACTACAAATACATGAGGTCGGTGCTACACTTTCTTGTGTACATGTACAATTACTTTTTGTTTCTGCTTTACCATGTCCGGGCTCCTCTTTATTCTCTGCACATGTGTCGCTTTTTTTTTTTTATTTGAAATGCAAAAACAAACGAATATTGTTTCTGTATTTGCTGCCAACATTGATTTTCGCAGAGAATTATACGTGGATATTGAAGACAATGACATGTGCTTTGTTTAATGTATATTACCTGCAAACAAAATACATGCACATACGTGTTTCTAACAAAATATGCAAGTGCATTTACATCTATATCCCCTGCCTTGGGTTTCGGCATTTTTGCAATTGCTTCTCTCAGTGGTTTTTCATCTGTTTCAAGTATGGTGCATTCTTTATTTCTACTGTCTTTGTCTTTCATTTTGTTATGAAATTAAATCAATAAATTTGTTTTGATGCTTAAATTTCTCCTTGCTTATCTCTCCCCGTCTCCCTGTCTCGCTGTCCTACTACTGTGGCATATAGAGATCCATCAGAGGAGAAAATTGTTGAGGAATTTCTGGAGGCTGAGAACGTAGAGGGGAGCAAAAAGATAAGATTCTAAGCATTATAAAGGGAATGGGTGAGTTTCTCTTAGGAAGCTCTTCGTTGGGATAATGTGAGCTATTTGAGATATTAGTTTTCTTTCAACCAAATTTTTTATTGTCATCCATTTTTGAAGATGTTTGATTCAAACTGAAACAATTTGAACCAAATAAAAATATTGTATTGGTATCCATGTTTGTTTGTCCACCATTGATTTTTAGCGGTTTATCAGTGCGTACTTTATACTAAAGGTGAAATTACAGGTAGCAAGTATGAAACCTCAGTTTCAAACTTCTCATATCGAATGAAATTGTTGAATTGGAGGTCCAGTAGTTAGTGAATTTGGATTTAGATTGGAATTACAATGATCCATCAGTTCATCAAATTGGTCATTTTCCTTGACGGGATATGTCCAATCTGGTTCAAATTCGATCATGTCCTTGATTTTTATTTTTATTTTAAAATTTTTTGGTTATTTGATGTGAGATGTTTATGAGAAATCGACTTTGTCTCTTCTCCTGTGTAAAAAAATAGATGTATTATTGATTGATATGTTTATTGTGTATATTACAAATGGTGAGTGGCTCATTATATAGGAGAGGGTGAGTGTAGTAGGTGAGGAGTAGGTGGTGGTAGGTGATGGTAAATTTTAACAGCCCCCCGCAAACTCAAGGAGGATAAAAACTAACCAACTTGAGTTTGGAGTGAGTAACAAAACAAGAAAATACATAAAAATAAAAAAGGAGAAGAGACACTGTATGGTCGTGTCAGACCATTGGTGAAGACACTGGATGGTGGTATCATAACGGTGTAGAGGACACTGGATGGCGGTGTCAGACCGATGTAGAAGACAGTTTATGGGGTCATGTCGGACCGTTGTAGCAGACAATGTTGGGACAGTTGTTATGACAGTTTACAGAGTCTTGCTGGACCCTTGTAGAAACTAACCGGAATCAATGTCGGGACAGTTTACAGAGTCTTGTCGGACCCATAAAGGAGCTAACCGGAATCAATGTCGGGACAGTTTACAGAGTCTTGTCGGACCCTTAAAAAATACACTGTATGATGGTGTATATAGGCTGCCCAAATATATATATATATGGATATATATAGTGAGCCCTCAAAAGTCGCGCCCTCAAAAGGCGCGCCCACTTCATCAAAAGGCATGCACAATTCATCAAAAGGCGTGCCATCAAAAGACGTGCCATCAAAAGACGCGCCCATGTTGTCGGCGAGCGTCGAGTGGCGCATGATGCGCGTGTCTGCCGCTTCGGCAGGGTCTTTATAAATCGAAGCGGAGGCTGAGGCTTGGAAGCATAACAAACCAGTTGAAACCTCTGCATTCTCAGAAACATTCTGTAACCAACCCTTCTCTGAAACACTCAGCAACCCATAACATGGCCTCTTCGTCCCGTCCAGCTAACCAGAACATGGCCTCCTCTTCCCGTGGGCTGCTTACGCTCTTTCCAGAACTGAATGAGTCCACAAGAGAAATAACTGGTGCGGTGGCCAGTGAACCTCAACCAAACACCTCTGTGTTTGCTCCGTTGAACTTTCCGATGCGGTCGGTGGAGCAAAAAATGGCGGTGTGCAAACTGATATTGAGGCCAATCAGTATACTCTGAAGTCATGCGTGGAAACCATGACTGCGGTCACAAATTTGTCGCACCGGCTGCAGAGCAGGACAAATGAGGTGCAACAGTTAAACGCCCAACTGGCTCTGCTCCAACGCATGTATAAGGATGCGCGAGCAGAGATAAGTGTGCTAAAGGCGGAAAATAAGGAGCTGAAGCGGAAGGCCACCGTGATGTTCCGATTTGGAGGGCCGCCATATGCTGCAGTGGAAGAGCAGGGAGGAGGCAACTTGCTTGGTGGTCTAGGAAGCATGGAGGCTGGGCAGTCACGGGACACCCAAGAGAAAAGCAAGAAGAAGAGACCTGCAGCAGAATAGAGAAGAAAAATCCCACTGTGGGTGTGGGTGTGTTGTGGTGGTTTGTGTTTGTTGTTTTTTTTTTTTTGTTTTTTTTTGTTTGTTTGTTTTTTTTGGTTTGTTTGTTTTTTTTTTTTGATGTAATGGATCCCTGAGATGAATAAAATATGGGTTGTTGTGAAAATGGGTAATTTTTATTTTTTTTTTTTTTATTTATTTTTTTTTTTTTGTGAAGCATGGTGATGATGAATATATAATGATGAAGAAAAAATAAGAAAGGTAGGAGTGGGGAACAAGGCGAATCAAGAGCACCAATTAAGCTTGATAAGAAAAAAAAATATTGGGCGGGGGTTTGTTTTTTTTTTTTTTTTTTTTTTTTTTTTTTTTTTTTTATGTGTATCCATGAAAGAGAGGAATGTTAGAGAAAAGTTGATATAGTCGGGGCAAAAGGTGACATAGTGGAGGTGTAAGTAATATATTATAGAAATATATATATATAGCAAAAGTTGACATAGTGGAGGTGTAAGTAATATATTATAATAAAAATATATATATAAAATAAAAAGAAGGGGCAAAAGGAAAATAAAAAGAAACGAAAAGAGGGGACAAAACCCACGTGATAAAGTGGAGAGAAGGGGAGAGAGGGAAACTCTGTGTCCCTCATGTGAGTGAGAGAGAGTGAAAGAGAGATGAGAGGAATCTGTGGTCAATTAAAAAAAAAAAACAGCCCCCTGTTTTGTTTTGTGGTTCTTCTCTTTCAACTAAAGAGAGAGCGGTGTTGGAACGGAAAAGGACAGAGGAACCGGGGGAGGGGGCGGCCCGAGAGAGTGAGAGATGATGAGGCCATTTTCTGGCAGATGATGGCATATCGAGCCAGACCATTAGCATTTTCCATGATAGCAAGTGGAGATGGTTCGGTGGGACCAATCTTGAGTACAGCACGCCATTTGGCAAACCTAGCACCAGCTTCATAGTACTTCGCGCAGCGCTGGCCAAGGCCATCAAGACCTTGGGTGGTGGTCTCACCATTGGTTCCAGCAAGCTCGACAACACACTTGTCCACCTTGATTCCAGGCACGACACCACCTTCCTTGAGCACCTCAACGAAGGGCTTACCTGCAGCTGTCTTCTGATAAAGGGTTTCCTCGAAGAGAATCACTCCACAGAGGTATTGAAGAGCACCGGGAGTTGTGAATAGGAGCTCGCGGAAAGCCTGCCTGTTTGATTCAACATTCTTGACATTAATGCTGGAAAGACGTTTGCCCATAGTGCCAGTGGACTCATCAGCAGCAAGGATACCCTTTCCAGGGGTGCCAATGTAGGATGCAGTGGCAATGAGCTCATCATGGTACTTTCCCTTGTAGCAAGACATGACTGAAGAGAGAGAAGAAGATGATAGATGATCTTCTAGAGAGAGAGAGAGAGAGAAGTTTGAATTGGTTGAGACCCGGCGGGCGGTCAAGGCAAGGTTGCCGCCCGCCGGAAGGCGAAGAACACCAAAATCTTTAACCTATTACTCTGATACCATGTAAAAAAATAGATGTATTATTGATTGATATGTTTATTGTGTATATTACAAATGGTGAGTGGCTCATTATATAGGAGAGGGTGAGTGTAGTAGGTGAGAAGTAGTGGTGGTAGGTGATAAATTTTAACATCCTGCCACTCCCTTCTTTTTTATGTTTGATTTCTACTTCTATTATCCTATTGTATGGTTTTGATGGCTATTAAAATAGAGCACATGATCAAAAAAGTTTTTCAACACGTTTTTCTATATTATCATACTGTCAGTAATTAAATGTGACCTACTATCGGTGTAATTCTTTTTACTCGTTTCTCTTAAAATAAAACTATTTTTTAAAGGTGTATACCATTGGTTAATATAACTAAATTAATATAACTAAATTTTAATTAATTTATGGTTCTTTCCAATGTTTGATCAACAATTCCCCATGGAATTTTCAGGTTTCAAAGATGAAATTGGAGGACAGGTAGATAGTAAACCTTCCATAGAATTTGGGGTTGTGCAAGATGCTGATCGTCTTGATGCAATTGGTGCAATTGGTAATATATGTGTTTTATTAGTACTTGATATCCAATAGTATTTTCTATACACTAAACTTTCTGTTCATTCTTGGCTGGCTGAGAATGAGGAGTTTCACTACTTTTATCACCTTTAATGCCTCATCTGGGCACTGGTTCTGTTATGTGTTTGTATCCACCCCTGCATTCTTATGGAAACATGCGTCACTGTTACCAGAAAAAAACTAATATCCTAACAATTTATATTTTGGAATGCATGTTTCCAAACATGGTTACACTTCCATTCAAAATGGTTAATTTAGCGATCCAAAGTGATCTTAATATTTTTCCTATGTATTTCTTTTTTTAAATTCCTGAAGAGGAAAAAATTCAAATATACCAAACGAAACCAAATGAGATCTGTTACATAAATCTTTCTTCTCCACTTGACTCTAGGAATGGCTATTTGGTTAGTCAGATTAAGGATATTCATATCTCTATTTGCTACATTAACCCATGTCAATTTAGATCTGTCCCTTCCCTCAATATAATAAATTAAAATCTAAAGAGTGGAGTTTTGGCATGACAAAATGCAAAAACAATTGGCAGTAAGTTCTCCTAAAATCTTGTTGTGCATGATCCAATAAAAGAATATAAACTGTATTTTATTGGATATATGATTATTAGAAGAAAATTGCTCTCATAGTTACAAGTACCTAAATTTCTGTAGTGTTATCTATTCATTCTTACTCTTATTGTATTGCATTTTAGAGCAAGTAATATCATGTTCATGTTCTCGTTCCCGTTCCCATTCCTGTTCTTCATACTGGAACAGTCTGCGTTCCAAGTAGCATAGCATGTATGTAAGATCTGTTCACGTTTACTCTTCTGTTCCCGTTCTTCATATTGTACCACATTTCATGCTCCCGTTTTTGTTCATACCAGGATGATCCACGTACCTGGTAACATAGCATGTATGTAATATGTATAAATACAACTGTACCTTACATGTTTTGCCGCAGATTGCTTTCATTTATTAAATTTTGTTGGCTATCCTTGAAGTCTCAAACTCTTCTTGATGGACTTCATAAATATTAAACAGCTTTAGGAGGCAGAATGGTTCTGCATGTGACGTGCCCTCCAACTTCACATACCTCAACGTTTCCTTTGGTTTCAGGAATTGCTCGTTGTTTTACTTTTGGCGGAAGTAGGAGCAGTGTGCTCCATGACCCGAGCATTCAGCCACGATCAGATTTGTCCAAGGAACAATACACTAAGAAAGATAAGCAAACTACCGTGAATCATTTTCACGAGAAGCTTCTGAAGCTGAAGGATTTAATGAAGACAAAGGTTAAATCTCTACACTTGTATGCATGTGTTTTGATAGAAAAACTTGCATCTGTGCATCAATTTTGACTTAGATTCTGGTAGTACAAGTGTAATGCTTTTAATTGAGTATTTCAAGATGGCAAAGTTTGATGTTGGATAATTGTCGAAATGTCAGGCTGGGCAGAGGAGGGCTGAGAAAAGGCATAAGTTCATCGAGGACTTCCTGAAAGAGTTCTATGAAGAATGGGATGGGAGGGCTTGAATGAATAAGGTATTGTTGCAAATGATTTATCTTTGGTATTTCTGATGATGTTAATGTAATCAATAAAATTGTCTTTTCACAATGGGCACTTTCTCACAATGATACACATCATATATTCTCTGATGCTTGAAATCCATTTGCATGGTTGTTAGAATTGTGGGAGATTCATATGATTCGATTTGAATTTCAATCAAAATTATTCAAATTATGTTGTTGAATAAGAATTTGAGTTAATATATGATTCAATTTGCAATTATTACTATGTACTGCGATTCCGTTATGTTTTTGTTTTTGTTGGCATAATATATAATGTATGAAGTGATGTTTTTGCCTTCTTTTTCAAAAAAATAAAATAAAAGAAGTTAATTAGTTATATTGAGAAACATAGTTTTATTTGTATATATACATATAAACAATAGGATTTTTCTATGATACATTCATGTATCATTCATAAATAAATTTGGATCATTAGATCTAAAAGTAAAATAAATCTAACCATTGATTGGTAATAATTAAAACCAGGTTAAGAAATCTAGGTAATTTCGTAAAAAATAAGGTAGTTTTTAATGGTTTTGAAATCAAAAAGTAGTTTTCAACTTACCACAATAACTAAGTACATTTATTATTTGATATGATTATATTTACTATTTTTAATAACTATACTTACCATTCAATTATTAATAAAATGTACTTAACATGCTATTCAGGTAATAGGTAAACTTAAAAAATTAAGTTATAATAAATTTTCAAAATCTCTAAAATAAATATAAAATTTATAATATAGAATTTAAGAAAGAAATATACAAAATAAATGTGAATTTTATACATTTTATTATAATTTATTACATTTTATGAAATATGATTTTTTTTTATATTTATTTATCTACTTAATGGCAATAAATGAATTCTAGTTTCCTTTTCATTTACCAAACTTGAAAATAATAAATGCAATTAATAAAGAAATATAATTAATAAAATATAGGAAAATTTAAAATTTATTTGAGGATTTAATGAACAAAATTTTATGTTTATTTTTAAAAAATTTGAATATTTGAAGACTTGAAAATAAGATTGTTGTTGATTTAGAACTCCTTGGGTAAGGATCTATCTCCATAGTCTGTATCTCTTTTTTTACTTTAGTTTTTCATGATATTTTGAATTTATAAATTTTAATGTTTTTTTGGAACAACATTTCACCTAGTTAAAAGAAAAATTATGAGATTTAAGTGGTAAGAAAAAAAAAAAAGTTTGATGAAATAGTAAATACAGTCTTAAGTTTAGTTTAAATGATTGATTAATTAAGTCTACTAAAATAGTAAGTAGAGTCTTATTGAGTAGTAAAGTATTGTTTAAGTGATGAGTCAAATTTGATAAAGTAGTAAGTATTGTTTAACTGACGAGTCAAGTTCGATAAAGTAGTAAGCAGAGCCTCATTGAGTAGTAAGTGTTATTTAAATGAGTGGTAAGTCAAATCTGATAAAGTAATAAGTAGAGTCTCATTGAGTAGTAAGTATGATTTAAATGAGTAGTTTCCAACTTATTACAACAACTAAACACACTTATTACTTGATATGATTGTACTTACTATTCCACATAATTGCACTTACCATTCAAACATTAATAAAATGCACCTAATCTCTAAAATAAATATAAAATTTATAAAATAGAATGTAGACAAAAAAAAAATGTACAAAATAAATATGAAATTTATAAATTTTATTATAATTTTTTACATTTTATGGAATATGATTTTTTTTATGTATCTACTTAATGGCAATGGATGGCAATAAATGAAACCTAATATCCTTTTCATCTACCACAATAAATGCAATTAATGAGAAATATGATATACAAAATATAGGAAAATTTCAAATTCATTTGAGGATTTCATAAACAAAATTTGATGTTCATTTCTAAAACTTTTGAAAATTTTAAGATAGAATTGTTGTTGATTTGGAACTCCTTAGGTAAGTCTCTCTCTTTTTACTTTCACTTCCATTATATTTTGAATTTATAAATTTTTATATTTTGTTGGAACAACATTTCACCTAGTTAAAAGACAATTTATGAGATTCAAGTGGTAAGAAAAAATAATCAAGTTTGATGAAATAGTAAATGTAATCTTAAGTTTAATTTAAATGATTGATAAGTCAAGTCTAATGAAGTAGTAAATACAATCTCATTGAGTAGTAAGTATTATTTAAATGAGTGATAAGTCAAGTTTGATAAAGTAATAAGTACAGTGTTATTGAGTAATAAGTGTGCCTTAAATGAGTGGTAAGTCAAATCTAATAAAGTAGTAAGGAGGGTTTCATTGAGTAATAAGTGTGATTCAAATGAGTGGTAAATCAAGTCTGATGAAATAGTAAGTACAACCTTATTGACTAGTAAGTGTGGTTTAAATGACTGATGAGTCAAGTTTGATAAAATAGTAAGTATAGTCTCATTGAGTAGTAAGTGTGGTTTAAATGAGTGTCAAGTCAAGTCTGATAAAATAATTAGTACAACCTCATTGACTAGTAAGTATGGTTTAAATGGCTGATAAGTTAAATTTGATAAAGTAATAAGTAGAGTCTCATTGAATAATAAATGTGATTATAATAAAGCAGTAAGTACAATCTCATTGAGTAGTAAGTGTGGTTTAAATGAGTGTTAAGTCAAGTCTGATAAAATAGTAAGTAAAGTCTTATTGAGTAGTAAGTGTTGTTTAAATGACTGATAAGTTAAGTTTGATAAAGTAGTAAGTAGAGTCTCATTAAGTAGTAAGTGTGATTCAAATGAGTGGTAAGTTAAGTTTGATAAAGTAATAAGTACAA